TTTTTTTCATGGCAATAGACTTGACTAACTATAATTAATGGGTGATTTAAGAATAGCAAAAGCATATTTACAGGAGATTTGCACCTGTTAACATTTTGTTTAGCATTCTATAGGTTTGATGTTTGGATTATTCCTGTTAGTGGTACCTAGATACCAAATGGTTAGAATAAAAAACTCTTTGGCATGATTGTGTAACCTTACATATGGCTAAGGTACCAAAATATTTTGTAAAATTTCATGAAAAGTTAATAAATTTGCACAAATTGTCCGAAATCTCAAAAGATTATAGTAGTTTCCTGGAAAATCCACAAAATATTCTGAGGTATAACTATATCACAACATTTTGATAATTTTTAATTTTAAAAAAATATTATTTTATTTGGATGGTGATGTGATGGTCACTTGGAGTTTGATAGAAGCTTACAGTGTTGATACCTGCCTCAGAAGAATGTTAAGTATTTTTGAAATAAGTTTTCTAAGTGGTTCTCAAGGCTGTTATTTTCAGTTTTAAGAAAATAGCTTGCAGTAGAAAACATCCTGTGAATGTCGCAGCGAGATTGGACATGAGAAGCGGGTCTCTGCGCTCTGGGGCCAAGTTCTCTCTGTTGGTGGGCTCCGTAAGGAGCCAAAGTCGTCCTGTAGGGGCAGTAAAGCAAAGAGGGGTGCCCTGTGAGGTCGTGTAGGTCACAACTCTCCTGTCTGACCTGGAGTTCTTTTTCCCTGTCAGCCACAGTGAGGAGAAGTGGCAACCGAAAGATGGCTGCCACGAAACTGGGACAACTGAGGAACAACTAAGACTGGTGCTGGAGTGAAGTAGTGACTGGAACTGGGGGAGAGGATTCCTTTTTACTTAAAACTTAACCCCAAGGAACAATTTAGAACTATTTGCTCAGTATTGTTTGTTAAAGCGGCGATTAAGCATTCTGAGAAAAAATACCAGACCGGAAAGAAAAGACCTAAAGAGAGAAAAACAATAAATTTCTAAAAATACAGAAGATTGGACTCTTAAACTGGGAAGACATAGTATTGGAAGGCATTTTAAAATGCTGGAATTATATACTTAAAAAACTTATCCTGTTTCTATAATTGAATTACAATTAAAATCATGATCAAAATAACTAAAAATACACTGACTAGTGGCAACACTGAAATTTAAGTTGAGAGCGCCACCTGCTGACAAAAGGAAAATATACAAGTCTGGGAAAGGACTGTGAAAATATTTTCTGGGTTATACCTAATTATCAAACGACTACTGATGGCTCAAATATGAGAACAAGGAAGTTATTTAATTAAAGTGACCCCAGATTATTATGCTAGAAGATTGAACCTGGGGACGTAAAGAGGCTTTTGATAACTTCTGGGATTATTTAAATGGAACCTGATTGATTTATTTATGGGATACAAAGAACTGTGATTAGTGTACTTCTTAAAGGGCAATTTTAGGTCTGAATAAATGGTTCTTGGACTACTGGACAAAAGTGGGATTTTTAAAAAACAAAATAAGATGCTTCATAAGGAAGAAATGAGTGGAACTATGAAGGAGATGGCATTTATTTTCTAAAGCACAAAGGACATCATGGAGAAGGGATTTAAGGAGACTATGAGGAAAATGGTGAGTGGCATTAGACTAATATATTAAAACATGGAATAACTAAATAATGATAAATTACAACTTAATATAAATGTTATTATTATTAGTAATATATAAGTTGGTTGAATGTAATAAACTATGATTAATTTTACTAGTTTTATTTGTATTAGAATGTATGACTTCCAGGTGCCACACTGCTCCTGCATTGATATGTATATAAAATAAAATAAAATAAAAAACTTGAAACAAAAAAGAAAAGAAAAGAAAATAGCTTGTAGTGATTACTGTTTAACTGGAAGTAGATATAGTTCTGAAGATATAGAATGGTTCTGTCTAGTTAATTTAATACACTTTGAAGTGGAATTGCAGACTATGTAGGTTACATTTATATGTGACAATATGTATATTAGGAGCTTCTCAATTTCTCCTGAATTATCACCTCTTCAGCATAATGGATGGAAATTTGAAATTTCTATTCAAGGTTTATGAAAAGAAAAACAGTGTTTTTCTTTTTCAGTCTAGTAAAAATATGTATTTTTTATAAACCATAATTAATGACAAAATGTGAATCTAACCTATGATTTAATAGTTTGGTTAACAAACTAGAATATTAAGTCACAGGTTAACTATGGTTTGACATTGTTAACTATGGATTCACAGAAAGACTAATCCCATATTCAAAAGAAACAGAAATCATAAACAGAAGAATTAAATTATTCATCAAAGACAGATAAAAAAGGATTGTGAGGCTAGGAGCTTAAGGCTTACTGCTACATAATAAATAACCAAATAAATAACTAAACAAATAAACATGCTGTATTATATCACAATATGACTAATTTTTCTATCTTCTAGGTACAAAATATTTTTAACACCAAGTATATAAGAAAGATTAAAGATTGGCTTCGTCCAATATAAAATTTCAGGTGGCAGTTTAGAAAGTGCTTACTATTAAAAATTAGGGTCATGATAAATACAGATATGACAATTGTACAATAACTGAAATAATAGAGACCTTGGTAGGATAATATTTCTTGTTTGTATGACACTTCATGTCTATGAGTCAAAGCTCTTGCTGTTCCTGTCCTTATTTGAATATGAAAACAAATGAACTGCAAATATTGATGTCCTACAATATTTATCCAACAAAGAATTTGCCATGATATTAATTACCCTGGTGACATAGCATGCCCTCAAATTCTTGTTGTTGTTTTTGTTCAACATTATTTCATAAAGCTGCTGCAAGGAGATGTCTATATTGCAAATGTTCACAATAAATTATCTAAAGGCATGACATTTTGTGTATATAACCAAGCCTTCTTCACTTGAAATATACTATAAAAAGAAATGAGAAAGGTCAGTTGTATCAGGGAATTTTATGAAACTCACTGAGCTGGAAGTCTATGAAATTTACCTTATCGTACCTTGTTCAACAAATGTTCAGGTACTGAAGTTGGCTTGCAAGTTATTTCATTTACTGATTTACCTGTGCATGATTTCTCTTACTGATGTACTTGTTTCTATAGATATTCAAAAAGACGAATGAAGGTATTTAGAGATTTTTTATTCACATTTATTTGTAAAGTACAATAGACAACAGCAACTGAAGTCAATTTCTGGATATTAAAAATACAGTTCTATGCATATCTGTTGAATAAGACTTCCTAATAATTGTATCATGTTTATGTTTTTAGATTTTGATCAAAAGATGACGCTCTAGCAAATTTGTCATAATCCCATTGGTCTTGAATTAGGTTAACATCAAAAGTTGAAAAAAATCTTGTAACCTTTGTAAATGTCTGCATTTACCTATCATTTTATTAGAATTAATACTTTTACTATGATTCATTTGTTTACTGGTGCAAAATGTGAACAATCTGCATAACTGATGAAGCAGTTTCATTTTAAAAAGATTAACACTATGGTAGTATTTCTTCTGATACAGATGTCTGATGTTCATTAAATTATTTTCATAATACGCTCAGTGCAGTCTTCATGGGAAAAGGTAATTCAAATGGGCTTAGATATGAAGATTACTACATGGAATTAAAACTAATGAAGGACTGTAAACACTTCTCGGCTGTGTTGAAAACCTGCTGAACTAAACTCACAGAGACTAGTAGGAGTATTTGATTTATGAATTTGAAAATAAATAAGTTAATTATAAATTGTAGTGTATCCAGAGAGAGCATCAGGGATTGATTTTATAAATTAACATATTTATTTAGGATTGGGAAAACAAGCTAAATAGCATGTTAAATTTGTACATAATAAATATGAAGGTAGTGCAAATCAAGTTGGGAATTACAGAAGAAGAGGACATCTACTTAATGATGTTGATTATTTATCTGTTTCTAAATTCCAGAAAAGGACATATTTAATGCTCTGTATCTACGGTACTTCTTTGATCATGACTCACTTAAATGAGCTATGCAATACCTTGTCAGCTTTCAAATCACTTATTTCTCCATTTACTACTCACTTTGCAACAAAATGAACCTTTGAGATGGGTTGCGCTGAGAGAAAGTGATTGGCCAAATGTAACCCAAAGATAAGTTCTGTGGTCTTTCTGACTCTTGCCATAACCATCTGTTATCTGGACTATTGTAATGCTTTTTACATGGGGTTGACCTTGAAGACCATTCTGTAATTATACCGGGGCCAGAATATGGCTTATAGGACATACTTTCTTCAGATGGTTCTGGTTATCCTTTAAGATCAGGCAGGGTCAGAATGCACAAACTCATCAAGCAAACAGTGCCATTGATCATTTAGAAAAGTTTTGAAACATGGCTGTTCAAACAGGCCAGACCATTCTGTGATACTGCCTGGTTGATTATAAGCAACTGGAGTTTTGTTTGCATGTTTTCCCCATGTGCTAGAATTACAGTAATGTATTTGTATAATATTTTAAACTCTGTACATTGCTTTCAATTTTGGCAACCTAACAAATTATTATTTATTCTTATTTCCTTAAATTATATAAAGACATATCTATATCTAGCCAACCAGAGTCCCCTAAAACTGCAAGATGGACAGCATATAAATTTAATAAATAAATCAAATCTCATATTCTCTATGTTCCAGTGTTTCCTTACTTTTTTTGTAGAAAAATTTAAGCTAACCACTTACGACAAAACATGTAAAAACAAATAATCAAATCAAATCTAGCACATCAAAAGCTTTCTTGTTGTCCCTCTCTCATAATAACATGCATAAAAATGCTATAATTTATTTTGTGTGCATGTGTGAATGTAAGTGTAAGAAATGAAGGGATCCAGTTTCCAACCATCCTGTTTTAGGAAAGGTTAAGCAGATGGTTGGGCTACAGTTTCAGAGAGTTTAAAATGTCCATGACACGATGAGGTAAAATAATCCATTGCTCAGATTAGGTATCAGTATGCTGAAGATGCCTAGATGGATATTCTGATTTTAGGCTGATCAAATGGTGTTGTCAGAGTCTTGCCCAGTGTATGTAGAAGTACAGATTCAGGATTATCCATAGTTTATTTGGATCACTTTATCCTGGAGATTTTCCATTTTTAGTCCTACAGGGGTTGCACTATTTTTGCGCAGAAAAAGAAGACTTCACTAGGTAAGTAGAACAGCGAGGGGGGAGGGACAGCTGTGCTGCACGATTTAGCTTCGCTAGAAAGCAGGATTTCCTGTTTTCTAGCTAAATCACACGGCACAGCTGATCGTCGGAAATACCGGTTCGGATGAACCAGTAGTTTTTATCACTACCGTTTTGCCCATACTGGAGCGAACCAGTAGCATTTCACCCTGGGAATGACAACCCCCCCCCCCCACACACCAATCCAAAATCATGCTAAATTGCAGCATATAAATAGCAAACAAACAAACATTAAATCTCTTGTTCATTTATATACAAGCCACAGAGAATATAAAAATACAAGAAGAGATTTGATGCATTGGGCCCAAAAGAGCATTTGATCCAGGATGTTTGCATGGCAAAATAAAGATACCTCTTTTCTATTTCTGCTTTTCAACAATTGGTGTATCCCCACGTTGATCAGCCAGATTATCCCTGGAATTCATTATCCAATTTCTCATATTACCATTTTTTAGAGCTATCCCATTCAGAAAACCATGTTACTGTTGTGACATTAAATGGTACTTCAACAATAACAGCTCAATCCTGTCAATACAGCATCAGCCAAAGACACTTGATAAATGAGATTATTTTCTTGTAAACAGGAGAAAAAAAGGTTAATTGGAGGTGAAGTTTATTGCATTAGTATGGGTTGTAATTGCTTTTGACCCTTTTAATTTTATTGTTTGCTGTCCAGAATTCTTTGAGATGGGGAGGGGGGGTAGAAATGTTCTAAACAATAAATAATATTTTCAAACATTAAAGCAAGAGTGCTGTGGTGGCCTACTGTTGAAGATGCTTGCCTCCCACTCAGAAGATTGAGAGTTCAGTCCTAGGTAGTAGCAGATGTTTTTCTCAGTGGTGGGATTCAAATTTTTTGCTACCAGTTCTGTGGGCGTGGCTTGGTGGGCGTGGCATGGCTTGGTGGGCATGGCTTGGTGGATGTGGCAGGGGAAGGATACTGTAAAATCTCCATTCCCTCCTGATCAGTTGAGACTCGGGAGGTAGAGAATAGATGGGGGCGGGGCCAATCAGAGGTGTTATTTACCGGTTCTCTGAACTACTCAAAATTTCCACTACCAGTTCTCCAGAACTGGTCAGAACCTGCTGAATACCACCTCTGGTTTCTCTCCTCCGGCACAAAGAAAAAAATCTGTTGCAATTCCACAATGGTATCAGGAAAGGCATCCAGCACTCAGCTCCATCTTGTCGCCATCTTGTCGCCCTGACACTACTCTGAATTAAGGGACTACAGGATCGTAAAAGGAAAGAGGGAAAGTAAGAGCAAAGAATAACAAGAAGAATAGCAACAGCAGCAGCAAATATTCCATCAGGTGAGCCTTGGTAATTCTTGGGGTAAGTGCCAAAGTTTCTGGAGCATCATTTCATCATTACTTTTACCAGATCTTGAAATGCTTTTTTTGAAGTGTTCTAAAGAGCCCTGTTCTTTGGGGCTTTTTAGTAAGTTGCTGGGATACCCTGAAAGGAGTGTAAAATCAGGAAAGAAAAAGAGAACAGAAAATACTGTAAACTATAACAATAAGCTTTGTATTTTGAACATTATGTTAGAAGCAGGAAACCTCTAATTTATTTTTGCCTCTCTAATGCTTGATATCTTTTAAATGTTCTAAATAAGAAAGGAAAGTTGTGGGTGCAGCTAAGTCTATGATTTTGGGAAACAATAACACAACATCAACTCTGTAAGAAATGGATTAATATATCCCCTTGTTGCAGTGATTGTTCTGGAACACTACAAAATAAAATATTTGAAGGCTTTGCATGAGATTTATTTTAGATAATGAACAAAATGGGGGAGGAGGGAGGGAGGCTTTTCTGTACTGCAACCCCTGAATAATCCTGTGCACAATATTTCACATACATATACTAAAACTAAGTAGTAAATAAAAGATTCAAATTGCTTTGCCACCTTAAATTATGTACTGTATAACAACATTCCCTGCTTATGTGTCTGATGACACTAAAGCTACTGAATATATAAAATATTCAGTTGTCTCTTCAATTTTATATGCAATCAGTCATATTTAATATGTGCAACTTTGTATTGTTAAAGCTAAGAGAAGTGCAGGAGGAAAGTTATATTGAACTGCTTTTTTGCCATTGCAATCAAATGTATAATGAGCCTTTTCTATTATATTAATACTTATATAAGTGTAGGTTATGGAAACTTATTTTGAATAACTTTGATTTGAAACTTGAATTTTGTTTCCAGTTGTTTTGCAGGTCTGATTCCACTTAGTCAGACTGAAGTATCTGCTGGAGGTGTTGATTTTAATACTAAAAAAAGAAGAAGTTATTATTGTAACAGAGCATTCCTGGAATAGCCTGTCTGAATTGCCAAAAGGGATAAAAAGGCTGGTTTGGGAACTAACTATGCACTTTGCCTTGTGGAGAAAGGAGTTCCATTTTCCCTCTTCTTTGAGCAGTAAAATACTTGACATTGTAAAGTCTGCCTGTATTTAAACAGGGAGAAATATTAAGATGGCTGCATTTACTCCAGTTATTGGGCTGATATTCTTGATTACCACTAGAAACTCTGTTCCTTCAGCTGAATTTTCTCATTGCCACCATATTAAAGAAGAAATGGAATAGGTTGAGTATTATGGGAGCATAACTCATGCTCTTATATACAGAACTGGAATGGAAAAGTAACATACCTCACCTTCATTTTGTGAACATTCTGTTCCTCTCTCTATAGATCAGCGGTGGGTTGCCCCCGGTTCAGACCGGTTCGCAAGAACTGGTAGTAAAACCAGCGGGAGGCTGCACCCACTGACCCGGATGTCATTATAGGTGATCTGTGCATCCGCAGAAGCTTCTGCTTAAAAGTTGGTTGGAGCTGGATTCAATGGTTAACAGGATGTTGGCATGGAGAATGGAAGGAGCTCCTTCTTTTGATACTTTGGAAGCCTCTTTTCACACATTGTGTGATTTGTAGAATGAAATTGCCAAAATATAAGAATGATGCAACGTGACCTCAGTAAGAAGGCCTGGTATGGCAAGGAGGTTCTCAGATAGGCTGCATGGACCTGTCAGCAGTGGAAGAAAACTGTTGAAGGTAAGTGGCACGCAGCAGGTCCTGTGCAGCACAAGGCTGGGTGCATTTATCAGTGAGAACGGTGGCATATGGGCTGAAGTTGAGGCCTGGGGATGGTGGCAACTGCTTCAGACTGATAGGGCCTTGTGATCAACTTCATGCCCAGCCCTAATGCAGCTGCTGAATACCACTATTCAGGGTGAACAAAAGGGCATAGAGGATGGAGGGGAGGAAATAGGCAGATGGGGGAAGAGTGGCAGAGCTTGTAAATGCAAGCAGCCTACCAAACACCCAAATTTTGTTGATATGACTGCAGGGGCACTGCAGCAGTTATAACTTCAGGCACAGGTTGTAAGTCCCTTTTCATTCAGTGCCATTGTAATTTCAAATGAGCGTAAATCAAAGATTACCTGTGGTGTTTAGGAGATTTCCTTTCTTACTATTCGCAAAGTCACGCTCATCTTTTTCATGTCTGCTTCAACAAAATTTTAGTCCTTGAATATAGGGCAAATCGCATCTTATTTTTCAGAATTTAGTTTGGAATACAAAACTTCTTGTTTTAAATGCATTTTTTCTCATGTCTTTGAAGTTTAGCCACATATCTACAGTGTTCTTGCTTTTCATCTTTATATATTCTATCTCTAGTGCTCGTGTGATCTGCATGTTAACAAGCATTTAAATAAGATATGATGTGTCAATCCTGTTGCAGTTAGAATAAGATTGAGCTGCAGTATTAAAAAAATCTCTTCCACAGGTCCTTTTTCCTGTGTGTATGATTCTATATTAAAATGGAAATGAATAAGGAAAATATCTTTGTGTCTGGGTATCATTATTCCTCATGTGTTCTTCACATCTGAAGAAGGCTCACTCTTAATTTTGGGATAGAGAATCAAGCTGCACTTTAGATGTAATTTTTAATGCACATTTCCCCAACAGAATCCCAATAATGGATCCCCAAATGTAACAGGATGGTCTATTCTCTTTTTGAGTAAATTAATCTATATTATTGTCTATTCAAGTTATTAATATTTTCCTCCTCCACCTCTGCTCTGCACTCAACCACCTTTTTGGTTATTATATTGATGTATTATTCTCGTTGTGTTCCTTTTATTTTATTGTTCTATTATTTTATTTCTGTTCTGTTTACATTCCTTTCACTTTTCTTCCTTTTTATTGTTGTAAACCGCCTAGAGTAGCACCACAATAAGATAGGCAGCAAATAAACAAATAATGAGCTGGGTATTTTACTGTATTAAAACATTACCCAGTATTTGCTAGAAGACTGCTGAAGAAGTAAAAATTTCCTTTTTTATTCTTTGCACTTACACTAGAAAAGAAGACATCTTTTAAGGTAAGTAACACAAAGTAGAAAGTCTTTTTTATCCCAGATGAAAATTTTGTTCTCACTTATGCTTTTTATCATCATGTGCAGGCATAGGATGCTTTTGCTATCCAGATATTGTTGTACTACCCCTTCTATCATCCTCATTAAATGACCCAAAATTGATTAGAACAGGAATCCAACAACCTCAAAAGGATCAAGAATTCTCCTCCTGGATCTAGCTTATGTTGGTTTTAATTTTTTTTCCAGATTTTGTTAAATCAAATGGTTGTTGTTAAATCAAATGGTTAAGCTTTATTTGATTACTGTTTGATGAACATTTTTTTTACTGAGCTCCATAGAATGGCATAAAGTAGGGATGTCAAACTCGTGGCCCATGGGCCAGATGCGTCACACACAGGTCACGTCCACCCCAGCGCCGCGAATGGAAAAATGTTACAAAAGGTCACATGATGGCAATGTGACATGGCGAGTTTGACACCCATGGCAAAAAATATTACAAACGAGCAAACAAATAAAGGGGAAGGATCTAGAAGTCGTCTTTTAATGCAGCCGGTTTGTTTTCATCATGGAATAGGAAAACTACAAAACTAAATGAAAATTGGAATTCTATCTTTTATTAAATAACACATTTTACTTCTTTTTCTCTGTCCTTCTCCTTTTCTTTTGTTTCCTTTTTGAAGTGGAAAATAGTAGCATTATGAAGGAATGCTTGAAAATATACTGTGGAGGTTAAGAGTTACAAAACAAATAGGGAAGATATACAGCATATTTTGCTTATGCTAAATAAAATGCACCTGCAAACTTTGTTGTAGGCAATTATTCTGGAGAGAGAAATTGAAGTAGTGGTTTTTAGCAAAGAAAAAAAAAATAAGAAGAAGAAGCTCAAGAGACTGACTTTGTATGCAAACACAATAAATTCAAGAGCCAAAAGTGATTTTCTTAGAAAAGAGAAATTGAGTGAGGTGTGACAGTACTAAAATTATACTTCCTTAATTGGGATGTCTAAAAGTCTAATTAAAACTGAGTATACCTGCAAGCTTTGAGGCCCACCTACAGTATAACTACTCATTTCCCCTCTTATATAGGAAATTGTGTAAACATGAGAAATAATGGGGAATGCTTTAGAGGAGTAGCAAAAGTCAAGCCTTAAACCTGAAGAATAGCTGCCATCTAGAATGGGCATGTTGACCTAAATGGGCTTGTAGTTTATATTTGCACAAATATACTGAAGTGATGATGAAACTGCCTTCTCCTTCTCCTCCTGTAATGGAAAAGCATATTTGAGTGTAACAATTCTTTATAATACCAAAACTCTTTAAGATTTTGCTTTTAGTAGCTTAGGTTTTTTTTTTTTTTAATCTTTTTGGAGATAAAAACTCCCTGGGGATGAAGTTATAAAAACCCCACTGAGAAAAAGTTGGAAGAAACAAAACATGGTTTCATTGTTGAATTAAGTAGGACTAACCATTTCCAGAAGTCTCCTGGATGTTCAACAATGCGAAATTCCAAGCAAGCTGATAAGAGACTGTTGGAGGATGAGCACTCTATGAGAGCATAAATAAGTGATAACTTTTGAATGAGCTCCTGTTTCTCTGTCACTTTTCTTTGAGTACTGCTTTTGTGTTCTTAGTGCATCTTCATATGCTTTGATTGATACTGTCACCAAGCCATAGAAAAACAGTAGCTTTCTACTCTTGTGTATAATATAGTTAAGCATTAATTTCATCACACAGAAATATATTTAGGAAAGAGAATAATGATAGTGGGAGGCAAGCAGAAACCTGTACGGTATACAGCTGTTCTATTCAGAAATATAGATTAAAAGCAATCAAATGAAATCTCAAATGACATCAATTTTCCAAATGGAATTTTTAAAAGTTGATTCGAGTCATTGAATGAAATCAGATGCCTCTGAAAGAAATAGATTGATTTTGGATGCTTCTGCATCTGCACAAAAATGTCTTTTTTCCAAATCAGTTTGGATAACTGAAATAAATTGATTCAATTTGAAAATTCAGTTTGAACATCTAAATAAAATTGGATCACTTTTCTGAATCAATTTGAACTGTCAAGCTGAATTGGATGAGAACTGATAAATCAAATTAAATTTTACACTATTTGCACATGTCTGGTAGTGCTGTCCTACTATTCAAAGTAATTATGAAATCATAAATCAATTTTCTTTGGAAATGGCAGAATGGAAATGGCAGAAATGGCAGTAAAATTTTAATCTTAGCCTATCAAGAGCATTTGCTAAGAAATACCATTGTATGGAACAGCGGAAGTCAACAAAAGAGAAGATAGTAGAGAAAATGCAAAATGATTTTGTAGAAAAATGTGATTAGCCATGCAATCCTATCAGGCATGCTGGAGAAGTTTGTTGGTCTGTATTTTTGAGAAACTAACTGCTCTTGTATGTTCCAAAGTGGAACAGGAAATTCCTGTTCTGGTAGCAGTAATCATGATATCTCAGGATAGCAGTGTTCCTATATCAAAGGGGTTTCACAAAGAAGAGGGAGTCAAACCATTCTCCAAAGCACCTGAGGGCAGGACAAAAAGCAATGGATGGAAACTAATCAAGGAGAGAAGCAACCTAGAACTAAGAAGAAATTTCTGACAGTTGAAACAATTAATCAGTGGAACAACTTGTCTCCAGAAGTTGTGAATGCTCCAACATTGGAGGTTTTTAAGAAGAGATTGGATAACCATTTGTCTGAAATGGAATAGGGTTTCCTGCCTAAGCAAGAGGTTGGACTAGAAGACCTCCAAAGTCCTTTCCAACTCTGTTATTCTGTTCTGTTCTGTTCTGTTCTGTTCTGTTCTGTTCTGTTCTGTTCTGTTCTGTTCTACCCTACCCTACCCTACCCTACCCTACCGTACTCTACTCTACCCTACTCTTCAAAATATAGTTTTAAAAAGATTTTGTGATGTCCCTTTCAGTCCAGAAAATGCTTTTAAATTAGCTTTCATGAATACATTATACATAACTGCATTTTTAAAGAAATGATACCTACAAAACAATAATAAATATATTGGAAAATGTTTTTTTCAGAAACAGTATGCTTGTTTGTAAATGAAATCTTGACAACAAAATGCAAAGTTTGAAAGAAATGGAATTAAGTTTGAATGTAAGCAAAATTAGTAAAGTTATGATATAGTCTGATATCTACTAAACTTAATTGGGCTTTTAACCCAGAGTTCTTATTTGAGGCACAAATGACCAGGTTCAAACTATCCTACTTTAGACATACTGTGCAAATATCTAGCACACCGGAAAAAACTCCAGTGCTGGGAAAGGTAGAAGAAAAAGAAGACGATGACTACCAGCAAGGTGGATAGACTCAGTTACAGTAAGTACAGTGCACCATTGGAAGAGCTGAAGGACTAGATTAGGGACAGATCATAATGGAGAGTATCTATGTATGTGGTTGGTAAGAGTTGACAATAATTTGATGGCACATAATCAATGGGATTTACTCCCATTGACACAGGATTAGAATGTGAGATTGAGAGAGATTTATTCAGAAAATTTAGCCAATGACAAGAACTTTGAGGAATATAACTATAGCTAAAAGTAGGACTTATTCCTTCATGGAACTTTAAATATGGCTTCAAACAAGGAGTTTGATATTATAAGTCATACACATGTGGCTTACTATATGTATGACTCACAATAATTCAGGTAGTCCTCGATTTATGACAATTGAGCTCAAAATTTATGTTGTGAAGTGAAAAAACTGTTAGGTGAATTTTGCCTGATTTTACAACTTTTCTTGCCACATTTGTTAAGTGAATCACTGCAGTGGTTAAATTAGTAACACAGTTGTTAAGTGAATCTGGCTTCCCCATTGACTTTGCTTGTCAGAAGGTCACAAAAGCGATCACATGACCTCTGGACACTGCAACTGGCATAAATATGAATCATTTGTCAAGTATTCAAATGTAAATCATGTGACCATGGGGATATTGCAACGGCCATAAGTGTGAAAAATGATCATAAGTCAATTTTTTCAGTGCTGTTGTAATTTTGAATAGTCACTAAATGAATTGTTGTAAGTCGAGGATTGCCTATAGTCAGTGGAAGCCATGTTAAGTATCACAAGGTTTCATCAAATAAGGGATATGCAGGGTTGATCAACCCTTATATAGCAGGTCTTGTTTTGGAACCTTCCTGATTCGGATTTAATAATTATGTTTTAGAGGGGACAAATTCAGTGGAAGTTGGCTTTTTGCAGCATTGATGTCACTGATTCTTTCAAGGAGTTTCAGCCATGTGTTCCTATTTAATAATGAACTTAAACTGGCAACTTGTTCCCATATTATTTTAATTCTAATTTAATTTTAACTTGTTAGTCTTAATTGTACTTTTAACTATTAAATTATGAGATTTGGATTTAATTTTTTAACTTTTTATTAGATGTTTCTTAACTGTTGTGAGCCGCCCTGAGTCTGGCTGGAGATAGGG